TTCAATATAAATTGTTGAAAAGACAGTGAATGTCTGATATTAAAATATGCCTCTATCTAATAGTTGTTAATTTGTACCTGGGTGAAAACTCCTCTTTCTCCTAAAAAAATGTGGAATAACAGAAGGCAACAGTCACCTGGCATTTTATTGACGGCCTTGGTAAGAACACTAGTATTTCCTAATTCCAATGAAGAGAAGGGTGGGCGTGACGAAAACCGATTTTCCTTTTGAATTCAAACCAAGAAGATTAGGGCGTGCACATGGGACTAATAATCCCAACCACATTTATCAAATGATTAAACTCAATCACGGATTGAATCCAGCACCGATTCAGGGAACTTGAATGGCACATTCAGGTCCCACCAAAGAACTCACTATCAGTTACTTGCCTCGATAGAAAATTCTGGTCTTTGATGACGAAAAAAGAAAAAAAGATGATGACAATGACGATGAGAAGAAACAAGAAATTTTCTCGAGAAAATAGTGATCATTAATCCACATGGATTCCCAATCAAACGCATTTCCCAAAACTGTCATAGAAGCATATGGGATTGGAAATCAATCCATTCTAGCATTTTTAAGTTTTACCCAAATGCAATGCAGAGAAGGTAGAAAACCAAGATGCAATAACAAAATAGAACAAAATGATTCAATCTAACAACACAGATAAACAAAATCAGAAATGGGGAAGAAGAGGGGGAAGTAATCTGAATTCTGGAAATGAATACAAGAAAAATGTAGTTCATAGATATATATACGATAAAATGGGAAGCAAGAGGAACAAAATGTATGATATGAAAGAAGAGATAACAACAATAACAACCCACAAACTAGGATTATGGTCTGCATTCATCCCTATACATACAACTTTCTCTGCAATCTTCTCTTTCTCTGTCTTTTTTATTTGACAACTCAAATATCCATAAAATTCAAATAAATATGGAGAGACTTTCTCCTCTATTACCTCTCTCTGGATCTCGATATCTTTCACCTCTTCTTGGGGTATCATTTTGACTAGAATCAATTACATAGGTGACCAATATCTACTACTGTAGAGGCTAGAATGATCTTGCAGGAGCGACGAGAATCGCCCGATTAGAATGACGAGTTGCTTGAATTGAAGTGCAGGAAGAGGAAATAGAGGCCGCACTATAGGTAATGCAATTGTAAGAATTTGTGTTTTCCTGGTTTGTGATGAGGGTCAGAGGAGCAAAAGTCTCAAAAGAATCAATAGAAGGGTGGTGGCGGAGGAGAAGCATATGAAACTCCACCTACTGGTGGCAATGGTCCCTCGTATACTGGAGC